AGCCTCACTCACCTAGTCTGACCTCCCCAGCATCATTGATGAGGATGTTGGCTCCCTGGAGATGAGAGGGAAGCCTCGGAGATAAGAGGCTGCAGGAACCCCCTGCCCAGCACCCCTCCCAGCTCCACCTCACAGCTCAAGCCACCCTGAGCCCCCATGCCACTCCCATCTCCTGGGTCCCATCCCTCAATGGCACCCCTCTGCCCTAAGACCACCTTGATGTCTCTGTGTATCTTCTTCTGTGAGTGCAGGTAGGCCAGTCCCTGGGAGAAGGGTGGGACAAGGGGGCTGTGAGTGTCTGGAAGCTGGAGTGGGGCCTACCCCATCCCCAGGCCCCCCAGCCTCTCCTCACCTGCAGCACTTCCCGGCACACATAGCTAATCTGGAGCTCTGACAGGGAGCCTGTCACTGCAAAGGTCACCCCGGCCAGGCCAGGTGTTGGATGAGAGCCAGGAAACTTGGGCTGGGGAGCCCTGGTCCCCACCCACACCAGCTGAGAGGGAGCCACAAGGGGAGGAGAACCAGGTTGGGACCAGTGGGAGGGGGAGACGGCGGGGAAGATGGCAGTTGGGGACAGAGTGAGGTGGCAATACAGCTTAATAGAGGCCAGAGGAGGCAGAGAGCCATTCTGCAGATGTCCTCTGTGTGTCTACTATGTGCCAGGCACAGCAAGAGGCTCTAGGACACAGCTACAAACAAGGAACAGACATTCCTGCCCTCAGGGAGAGAACATTCCAGTGGGGGAGACAGAAAGCAAACAAGATAAATAAGCAAAAATATGTAGCCCTTGAGATGCTAATCAATAGTAGGAAAAAAGGCTCGGAGCCTGTGGCTCAGGTGGCTTAGGCACCAACCACATACACCTAAGGTGGCGGGTTTGAAACCAGCCCGGGCCTGCCAATCAACAATGACGGCTGCAACCAAAAAATAGCCAGGCGTTGTGGCAGGTGCCTGTGGTCCCAGCTACTTGGGAGGCTGAGGCAGGAGTCTCGCTTGAGCCCAGGAGTTGGAGGTTGCTGTGAGCTGCTGTGATGTCAGGGGACTCTACCCAGGGGGACAGCTTGAGGCTCTGTCTCAAAAAAGAAAAAAAAAATAGTAGGAAAAAAATAAAGCAAGAATGGAAATGTGTGTGAAAAGGGTTGACATTTAACACATAGTGGTCAGCAAAGGCTACTCTAAGGTGACAGTGGCTGATGATATGACAGTCCCACTCTGATGGGGAACAGTGAATGCAGGGCCAGGGAGGTAAAAGGGTGCCTGGTAGATTTGAAAAGCAGCTGAGTGTGGGGAGGAAAGGAGTAGGAGGTGAGGCTGGCCATCTTAGGATGGACCGGACAGGGAGTTTGGGCTTCTCTGAGGGAAGCAGGAGCCAGAGCCGTGGGCAGGCTCTCAACAGAGAGGGGAGTGATGTGACTTTGCAAAATGATGAATGGCAGAGAGACACAGAGATAGACAGAGACAAAGAGAAAGAAACGGACAGATCCAAACAGAAAGAGACAGAAAAAGATGATCAGAGACCAAAATGTGAGAAGACAGATATGCTGTATTTAGAAAGAGAGAGACACAGAGGAGTGGAGAGGGAATCCCAGAGAGAGATGGAAGAGGTGGTCAGAAGTCGGGTCTGACAGAATGGCTGTGTGTTTCACTTCCTTTCTGTGTGCCTCAGTTACCCTCTGGAGGACTTCTTAATAAAGTCCTTCCTCTTCTAACAGTTGAGGCCTATGACGGGAGGGAGTCAGAGAGATGGCCTAAGACAGTAGTGGGAATTGGAAATTCACAGAGGTGATCAGAGGTCGGCCCCACTGCCACCCTCAAATTCTCCAAGAGAATGAAAGGCAGACTGAGAGAAAGAATCAGAAATTCATTCGTTCAACAAAAATTTGGCTGGGTGTGGTGGCTCACACCTGTAATCTTAGCACTCTGGGAGGACGAGGTGATGGATTGCTTGAGTTCAGGAGTTCGAGACTAGCCTGTGCAAGAGGAGGACCCTGTCTCTACTAAAAAATGGAAAAAAGTAGTTGGGCATTGTGGTGGGTGCCTGTACTCCCAGTTAGTTACTCAGGAGGCTGAGGCAAGAGGGTCACTTGAGCCCAAGAGTTTGAGGTTGCTGTGAGCTATGATGATGCCACGACACTCTAGCCAGGGTACACGACACTCTAGCCAGGGTAACAGAGTGAGACTCTGTCTCAGAAAAAAAAAGGCACCTATGAGCTAGAAAATGCAGAAATATCAAACACACAAATAGGCCGTGGCAGGAAAATGCAGATATAGAAAAAAGCTGGGGAAGGAGAGATGGGGGGGTGGGTGGTCACTGCATGCACAAAGACTGGGGCTGGGCCCACTCTGTCCCTGTATCTCCAGCATCAGCAGGCTCAGAGGAGGGGCTTATTGTGTGAAGTATGGACCAGAAAGTCAGAGATAGAAGAGGTGGATTAGGGAGGTGTGGTAGATGCCCTTGTCCTTCCTCTAACCTTGGTAGATGTCCTGGAGAGAACCAGCCCCACAGAATTCCATGCAGATCCAGAGCTTCTGCAACCTACAATGGTTCAAGAGTAATAATAGTAATAACAGCAATATATTATTATTTATAGGAGAGCCCCCAGTACACTGTCTTGTCCTAGTTCAGTAAGAACTTTATTGCAACAGCTGTCTTCGCTTTATCACCCCTTGCCCACCAGGGTGAGATTGTTCCATTCCCAGACAGATGAGGAAGTTAAGGCCAGAGAGGAAATATGCATTCAGGGACAACTCAACTTGAACCTAGGTCTTCCAGCTTCAAACCCTGGGTACCCATCTATAGTCCTATGCTAACCTAGGAATACAGAGCAGAGATCTCACAGGTTGCAGAGGGGCCCAGGGTGCCAGTTCTGAGAAGCTGAGGTCATTAGTGGGGCAACAAATATAAATTGGGGGGTCAGGGAATTTGGGGGTTTTCGTTCATGCAGGGAGTGAAACTGGGGGACCCAAAGGGCAGAATAATGAGAGATTAGTTTAAGGGGAGTTGATTTCAGATTGCATTAATATGAAAGAATCATTTTGGAGACCCCTGGCCAGAAACGGGAGTTTAGATTGGGGATCTAGGTTAAAGGGTGCTCTAGTTAAAAGAGTGGGACTTTGGACTGAAGAACAGGTTAGGAGTGCCCCCATTAAAAATGAGGGTCCAGGGTTAGAGGTTAGGTTAGGGTACCCCAGTCAGAAATGGAAGCTCAGGTTTGGAGATCAAATTAAGGGGTGCCCCTGTCAGAAATGGGAGTCCGGGTTAGGTGCTGAGCTGAGTTCCAGGGCGCAAGTCTAAAGCTCATCACCAGAGATAACTCCCATGGTAGGCCACGATGTTGGCATGCCGGCAAGTTTTCAGCATGAGGATTTCCTTCTGAAGGGTGGAGACATCGTCATCTGTGAGGAGGGGTAGGAGAGAAAAGGCTGCTTGCAGGGAGGGAGCTACCGCAGATGTGATCCCAGTGTCCTGGGAGGTGGGGTATAGATATGGGGAAGGATCTCCTGGGTTCTCTCCTCACCAGGCTCCATTTTCACCATCTTCAATGCCACCAGGTCCCCCGACACCTTGTCTCGAGCCTTGTAAAGGGGAAGTTGGCAGTCAGGCAGGCTCCACTTGCCTTAGCATCCCTGAGCCAAAGACAAGGACTGGGGCCCGCTTACACTCTTTTCCTTTCTAGGACCTCACTCCAAAGGTGACTAGATTGAGGATGATGGGGATGAAAGGGACTTTCTCACCTTGAAGACTTCCCCATAGGTGCCGCCACCCAGCCGCTGCAACAGGTCGTAATGGTCACGGGGGTCCTTATTAAAAATGTCGGGGTCTGTAAAGTCCATTCCTTGGGGCCAGAGCTGGCCTGCGCCCAGGGGCCAGCAGGGCCTCAGGGCTCAAGTGCTGGCACCTCCCTCCCTTTCCACAAGCCCTGCACCCGCCTTGCCTCCGCAGGCTGTGGCCTACCCCCTCCCCACTCTCGCTTCCTGCCCCAGCTGCAGGGCTGTGCCCTGGCTCCACCCCCTGTCCCCAGAGCTCTGAAAATCTATGACAGGCAGCTTGCCTAGGGACCCAAGGGACTACCCTTCACCTCCAAGACCCAGGGCTGTATGTAAATATGATGCAAAAGAACTTACTTATAACCCAGCGGGTGCCCTAGCACCATCCCTCCCACTCCAATACCCCCACCCCACCCCCCGTTCTGAGCAGTCTCTAAAAACCATAGTTTAACCTCTGCTGGGTACTTGAAGGTTTGGTCACAACCTGGGGGTGGCAGGTGTGCACCGGGATGGCTATGCAGTGTACATGCCTGTTCACATGGGTCACATACACGCACTTGTGTTGGCCCCTGCACGGTGTGCCGACGTGTAGATACGCACAGGCCTGGATATTTGTGTGTACACATGTGGATGTACCCAGGATATATACCTCCACATACATGGCACATGTCTGTGCATTCAGGCCTGCAAAGTACAGAACTTGTACACAAATAACTCCTGGCACCACAAGATGCCCTCAGCCGCAAAACTGCAACCGAATGGAGACTGGGCGCAATCTGGCGGGAGTTCAGGGGCTCCTTGCCCAGTCCCTGCCCGCAGGGCACAATAGCTTTATGAGATCCTACTCTTGTATCTGATAGAGGGTAGGGACCAGGATGCAGGGCTTGAAACCTGCCTCTGGGGCACAAGTCTAAAGCAAGAGGGACCTGAGCGGGACTTGCCCACCGCCCAATTGGAGAACTACCGCACGCATTCCCACAGAGTTCCGTGGGTATACGGCCGCGCTCTAAACGACGTGCGCGCTCGCGGTCAGAGCTCAAGCGCCTTCCGGAAGAGCTCGCGCACGCGCGCGCAAGTCCTCAGTGCTAGAACAAGGTACAAGACGCCGGGAAATGTTTAGCCCCACCTCCTCAACCTAAGGCGCCTGCGCACTGAAGTAAACTAAGCTTTTTCTCACGCCGTTGGTCCAGCTCAGGCGGAGCGAATACGCACGCTCCAATTGCGCCTGCCGTGAAGATGTCACGTGGCAGCCGGAAAGCGTGGCAGCTGTTGCAAAAGCCTCACTCAACCCGTTTACTACTTTTCTAGAGCTGGAGCGACAAGCGGGCGTAATTCCGTTTCCACCGCCTCTTTTTCTTCCGGTCCTCGAGGCTACCGTTCCGCTTCAGTGTTCGCCTCCAGTCCTGGTTGTGAAAGACGACAGTAGTCATGGCGATGTTTGAGCAGATGAGAGCGAACGTGGGCAAGTTGCTCAAGGGTATCGACAGGTCTGAGCTTAATCGGAGGGAGCGCTCTGGGGAGAGGATTGTCCCTAGACCGCAAAGGGTGGTCAGGGTCCTGGGTTTGCCCTCAGGCGGTGTTTCTCCGTCGTTCTGGATGTAAGGAGGTCATTCTGGAGAAGGAGATGTTTAAGAAAACAGCACTGTAAAGGCCCAGAAGCAAGAGAGAGCCTTACCTACCACTTATTTTCCTCTTTAATTCTCTTAAGATTTCCCTCTCCACTCCTCAGGTTTCTTTATCTTGGCTCCTGATTTCCTCCCTCTGCTCGTCAGTCTATCGGTGCTACTTAATCTCTCCATTCTCTGCCCCTCATGTTATTCATTCATCGCACGTTCACTGACATCCACTCTGTCAGCGCTGGGCACCAGGTGCAACGAAGACAGTTGCAGGTTGTGCTATCGTAGACTGGGTTCCTCTTCCAGAGAGGAGACAAAACCAGCAACAGATAGTGAGAGCCAGGGGTAGTTAGGGCTGAGTAGAGGAAGCTAGGCTGTAACCTAGAAAGGAGAGGATGGGTCTGGACCAGGTGGAGGCCTGAGGAGGAGAGGAAGGGGTAGCAAGCTGTGTGTACAGGCTAGACAGGTGACTGGTTGAGAGGTTGGGGAGGCATCCTAGACAAGATCCAGTGTTCTGATGGGGTTTAGAACTTAGCAAGAGGTCTGGGAAGTGTACAGGTTTTGTTAGAAGTTAAAGATATTCTGCCTCCTTTGCAATTTCCTGAAAATGAAAAAAAAGAAAGAAATTATAGATCTGATTCACTACTTGGGTAGAGCAGGTGATCTGTGCCAGATTTAGAGGGGAAGGGAAGGAAGAACGGATTGCAGTGGCCTTTTGCTTCATAAAATGACTAGTCTCAGCATCTTTCTCCTTTTTGCTCACTCATCTTGAATCTCCTTTAGGTACAATCCTGAAAACTTGGCCACCCTGGAGCGCTATGTGGAGACACAGGCCAAGGAGAATGCCTATGATCTGGAAGCCAATCTGGCTGTCTTGAAGCTGTGAGTGCGTAGCCCTGTACATACCCCCATGCCAGCAGCTAGCAAGGTGCCACTCTCAACACAAGGCAGGGGAAGGGGTGGTGGTGGCTGGGAGTGGTTTGCAAGGGTTTGGAAGTTGGGGCAGGAGGGTGGATGGTTTTTAAAAATTAATTATGTTGGGGCGGCGCCTGTGGCTCAAAGGAGTAGGGCGCTGGCCCCGTATGCTGGAGGTGGCTGGTTCAAACCCAGCCCTGGCCAAAAACTGCAATAAATAAATAAATAAGATAATTATGTCTACAAGTATCTTAGGGACCTGCCAGCTGTGCCAGTTTCCCTTCCTAGCCACAGAAGAGCATATTCTTGGTTATTGGCAAAGCTGTCACCATTTAATTGCTATCAGATTCTGTCTTGCACAAGTAACATTCTTTGCTATTAAAAATCTGAAGAGTGGGCTTGGCACCTGTAGCTCAGTGGCTAGGGTGCCAGCCACATACACCAGAGCTGGTGGCTTCAAATCCAGCCAGGCCTGCCAAACAACAACAACAAGAAAAAAAAATAGCCAGAGACTGTGGCGGGCGCCTGTAGTCCCAGCTACTTGGGACTGAGGCAAGAGAATCGCTTAAGCCCAAGAGTTTGAGGTTACTGTGAGCTATGATGGCTGGGCACTCTACCCAGGGCAACAGCTTGAGACTGTCTCAAAAAAAAAGTCTGAAGAGTGTGTCAATTCTAGCACACTGGGAGGGTGAGGCAGGTGGATTGCTTCAGCTCAGGAGTTCAAGACCAGGATGAGCAAGAATGAGACCCTGTCTCTACTAAAAAACAGAAAAACACCCAGCTAGATGTTGTGGTGGTTGCCTGTCGTCCTAGCTACTCGGGAGGCTGAGGCAGAAGGATTGGTCAAACCCAAGAGTTTGAGGTTGCTGTGAGCTATGATGGCACAGTACTCTACAGAGGGTGCAAAATGAGACTGTGTTTCAAAAAATAAATAATCTGAAGAGTGCCCATTATTGGGCAAATTTTAACTATTCTTTTTTTTTTTT